ACGAAAAAGTGGCGTGTAACCGGGAGTACGACGTCGAGCACATCCACTACGAGACCACCGGCCCCGCGTTGTGCACCGTTGTGTTTTTGTTGATCTACTTCTTCGGGATGGCCAGCTCGATATGGTGGGTCATCCTCTCGCTCACCTGGTTCCTCGCGGCGGGCATGAAGTGGGGCAACGAGGCCATCGCGGGCTACTCGCGGTCGGGGGCGCGGGGGTCTCTTAGTCTTTTCATTCGTTTGCATACAAATTAACTTGTTGATGGTTTCTATTAGCGGACGAACTGGGTGAAACAATGCAGCGAAGCAGAAACAATTACGTTGCGCAAATTCCATTCTATTGATATGGACATGACATGCAATCAGTCATTCTTAAGGAGAGTTTGGGCATTACATTGTTCCTAGTGGAGTAACACATGTCCCCAACTTGCAGCATTTCGTGTTGTTGGAAGACAAGTTTTGAATTGTCTGAACAATCAAAGATGGTTTCAATAAGCCTTAATGTTTCAGTGCCCTATTATTGTTATTGTTGTTATTATATACGGGTTGTTGTTCCTTTTTGCGAAATGTATTTATACAAACTTGTAAATGGTGTATAAAAGATGATTTATAAGATTATTGTAAATTTGTATATAGTGTAGATGCCACATGCAAAGCAAATATGACTTTTATTTTGACAATAAAAACTTTTTGATGAATCTGAATTTCTCCTAAGTGCTGCTTTAATGCTGAGGAAGCTTCTGGTAATGAGTGCCCCGCATCGGCTCATTGTGGTCATTCCCATTGAAGATGCTTTTGTGGGTTCTGTTCAGAGAAACTCTTTTAGCTATATCTGAGGCCTAATTAGAGACAAGGGCCTTGTGTTGGAGAATCTCCATAATTGTTGAACCCTTCACGTGCTTGCTACTTAATTTAGTAAAAGAGGGCTGGGGAATGGGGTTTAAATGCAGGAAACGGGTCCTTTTCATCTGGGGAAACTTTGATCTTTCTTTTAAAGTCTAGAATAAAGGTGGCATGCAGATAAAACCTTTAGACTGATGCGCCAAGTTTTTTAATGTCTAATTTGAGACCGTTGTCCTTTGATCGACGTTATAGACATCTTTTGAAGCTCGGGGCCCCAGCCATGTTTTGTTAGAGAAAACCTGTGACAGTTTTATTTATTTATTTATTTTTTTAACACTATCAAAACGTCCTTTTTGAATTTCAGCTGTATTAATAGTAGTTACACTCCTAGAGATGGTGAATGAAAACCTACAGGTGGTCCCTTACGTAACCCACAGAGCCTTTCCGTGAAACTCCAATGGAGACTCTTAGACAAAGAATGACATTGAAATTGTTGCAGAATGGTTAGTTTTGTGTCATATTACATGTCAGTTATTTTTTTGTAATCTAACTTGGAATGTCCTGTTGCAATATTTCTGTGTTTTTTAGCAAATGTAAAATAGCCTGCATACAACTATGTATTAGTATTTTTAGCCAAAGGACACCAGAGTGCTTATGTGTGATAGATTCCAATACAATAGGTTTAAACATTCCAGAAGGATATTATATTTTTAAATGAGTTGTCACACTTTTCCATTTTCCAACGTGCTGTGGTATTTCCATCTATACCTTTACACAAACAAAACATTTAGGTGGATTCATGCTACTTTGAAAGGGAATGCAACCTAATAATAATGGAAAATGTAAAGTCATTCATAATAATAATAATAAGGCATGTCATTTAAAACAATTACGTTTTTTAATTATACAATTTTTAGAGCGTATTCCTATTAAACTTCTGACAACAATAACTACTTTTTTTTTTTTTTGCTGTACTGTGTCTCCACCTTGCGGTCAATATAAAGAATTACAGTTATGTTTACCAAGCTTAACTTGCAGGATTTTACCATCTTTCATCAATAGCTGCACATGATCAGATATTTTCTTAAGTTGTTTCCACTTACCAATTAGTTGGTAACTGTAATTAAGTAGCTGCAGATATGTAACATTCTACACAGATGAGAGCAATAGGCAGGGACATTAAGTGAATTGCGTGTGGATACATTTGTATGAGAAAGTGTGGAAATGTTTGTTAAAATTGTTTCCTGGTTCACAAATAAACGTGGGTTTGCGGGAAGCTTGCTTTCTTCAGAAACTAAATCTTGTGTATTGTATTAGGCTATAAACAAGGTTATTGACAGAACATTCAATTGCCATAAAATTGACAGTCGTAAATACCGTAAGAGTCAACCATAAGAAAGTGTTGAAAAAGTTTAAAGCATACAAATAACATTTTGAAATATTTAGTCCTCTCATTTTTTGTTTACTGAGGTGAGCTAATAGTAATTAAGTCATGATTATTCAAATCTATAGAAGTATAATATTTGTTATTAAATTCGCTTCACAGTAAAAACCACTGGGCGACATGTTGTCTACGAGAAGCCGTATTTCTCAAAAAAGTGTGTTGTGCTCAGAAAGCAAAACCAGTAGCAATGCAATTTCCGCTCGTTTTTGCCTTATTAGAGAAAAGTTCAAACGAAATAGGTCATCTTTAAAATTGTTATCTGACATGCAAAATACATTTCTATAAGATGAATCAACAAAAGCCTAATCGATTAATCGCAAATCACTGTGATTTGTTTTTACTCAACAGTGCCGAGAAAAATAACAGATACCACGTGACACGCCGTCCACGTGCCTCTTTGAGCTGCGGTCAGGACAATAAATCACACCTGAATAAGTCTGAGATTCTTAACTATATATATATATATATATATATATATGGGAGTTAAAATAATATTATTATTATTTAGCTTAAGTGTTACCGGACCAATTAAAGATAACTTCCGGGGCGCTAGATTACGCCCATTTTACGAGCCCTGCCACAATGCAATTGACCATTTCAATAAAGATTCATTGAAGCCAGAGGAGTGCAGTATCAACTCCTGCCAGCAGAGAGCACTGAGTCTCAGTGAGAGCAGTAACAGTGAAAGCTGCACATGTGACAGGTACGTTTGCAGGCTCCATGATTTCAAAACATCTCTTATTTTAATATTAGATCTCACCTTAGACCTTACATATGTGACATCAAGAACAAACTGATTGTGCAATGTTCAAATACAGCTTTCAGTTGTTTTCCTCTTTTGAAAATACATTGTGCACTGAAATGCATTACTGTGGTGACAATATAATGATAAACATTATTAAAAATCAAAATCACACGCACTGTCTAATTTTGTAGCCATTAGAGAACAATTCTCACACCCAAAAAGAAATGGCATGATAACTGTCAAACTGTAACTTTGTTGTAGTCTTTATAAACACTGTTAGCCTTCCTGGGGTGTGTTTCCCAAAAGCAACTATGGTCGCAAATTCTGTCATTAGGCTACCAGTTAGTTCAGTGGAACTTGCCACCATAGTTAGCTAACGATGCTTTTGGGAAATGCACCCCTAGTTGGTAAATTTTAGAATGTGTACATTTACAGTTAAGTTTTAGTATTACAGTAGGCCTACATATACATACAAACAGTATATTTACAGAAACGTATAACATTCTGAGTGTCCTGAAGAAGTGTCAGAGACAGTTGAAATAACATATATGCAAAAGTAATTGCATTTATTGCACATTGATGCAGTAGTGAAGAATTGTCTATCTTCAGACTTGAGTTTGGTGCATATCTGTCCACTGGAGGGCATGATTTGTCCGTTTTTAATAGGATGTTCATATGGTAGGTTTTCCCAACCCTGTTTCTGGTGGCATACGAACAGTACACATTTTTCTAATCAAAAACACCTGAGTCGACTGACTCGACTCATCAGCACATTACTAGAGTCTCCAAGTAATATGTTACTTTGTGGTCACATGATCTTACATGAGTGAGATCCAGTTATCATTTTGGAAATGGTTCTTTTCCATTTGAAATCCAGCTGTCATCACAATTGAAATGAAATGAAATTTAAGTGAAATTGAATGCGTTGCATTTTGAGATACAGGAGTTCATGCAGTCTGTCCTTTCTTTAATAGTCACCAGTTTAAAGTTGTGAAATATTAATAATATTTCTCTGCCCTTTTAAGGGGGAGTGTGATTTGGTCAGGTAATACAATTTCAAACAATGCCAAAGAGTCACTGACTTGCAAACCATTTGACATCAGACTAATAATCCCTAGCATCTAGCAGCAAAAGAAAAGACAAAAACTACAACTACAAATCATCATGAGTGATGTATAAGGAAAATCCATAAATAGTAAATCCCAGAAGTCCCTGGTGTGTTTAATAAGACACATGTCTGACACTGTGAGGACAGGAGGGCTGCAGTCTAGGTGACTGTCCAAAGCTAACATGTCTAATCGTTTACATGTTGCGGCTGGCTTCTGAGAGTCTGAAAGGCGCGCATCGTCTTGCTCTCGTGTTACACCAGATTATGGAGCTCTATTTTAAGTTTTGTTCAAAAGCTCCAAACCAAACCCTAGCGGGTCCTTGAAATAGTGTTACAAGCTACCTCCACAAATACAAAAGCAGCCTGGGTGGGCAGTAATTGCTTTATGATGAGGTCCAGTTGACTGACAATCGACAGTTCTTGAGTTTTTTCAGCCTGGAGGATTTTGGAGGAACTTTAAAGCACCTTCGTACCCTAAGGGTTGTTCTTGTTTGGTGGCCGCCCTTGTTGAAGCAGAAAGTATGTCAGTCTTAGCTTAACCTCAGAGACCCTGGGTGGTTGCAACAGACCTGTTTTTAGAAAGGCCTTCGGTGTCCCTTGATTGTCGCAGGGGCAAGGCAGGTCAAGGCCCGTCTGGCTTGTGAAAGAAAGACAGAATGCGCTAACACAAACATGAGAGGCAGGTGGATGCTGATGGGCGTAGCTGATCCAAGGGTTGGCATGTATCCATGACGTTGACATCTAATGATACCTCTCATTTCACCTTGTTTCTCCAACCAATCTATTCCAATCAAGTCACTCTGTTTCAGTCAAGTCCCAATCAACTCGCAATGCTTCAAAATTAAACATCTGGAGAGACAATCAAACCCATTCCGACCTCTTTTCTTGTCCATCTCCATTGCAAGTTGGTACGTCCTCACCGGTGGTAATTTCTACCAGAGTATATTGTCCTGCTCTTCTAGTGCACACTGCTGTTGCCCCCGAGACATCAATTGCACCTTGAGGAGCTAGTTTGTCCCTTCGTGGAGGTGGTGGAGGTTTGAGACGACTGCGTTTGCTAACTCGGACGGATCTAGGAGTCCCCAAAGGCTCACTGGGGTACAGTGCCACTTCACTGCCCTCTTTTACCATCCCTTCTTCTTGGGTGGGTTGGTAGCTGCTGCTGTCGTCATTGTTGTTGGAACCAGGCATTCCAGCAATTGTAGGCATTCCTGCAAGAGGTGAAGGTTGTGGAGGGTCATCGTCCAAAAGAACGGAAGCAGCTTCATTGCCACTTGAGTTTCTGGTCCCTCTTTTGCGGAACCCTCCCGGTCCCATCACATCTTGAGTCGGCTGGATACTGGTGTCCACACCTTGATTCCCGTTCCCTGACAAGTAATACTGCTCCTCTGCGTACATCCTCTCTACTAGCATCTCTCCTTTGCTTTTTTGCCTCATGGAGCGCTTGATGGCACAGATTAGGTCGCACACGTTTAGCAGCAAGGACAAAGCGGCTGCCCCCAACATAAAGTTCAGCATGATGGTTTTCTCAGTGGGCCTAGAGATGTAGCAGTCCACCATTGTTGTGCAAGGTGGCTGCTGACACATGAAGCGTTTGGGGATGTGGAAGCCAAACAAGTAATAATGTGCAGCTCCAAATCCAGCTTCTACAAATATCTGCAGCAACAGATGCAAGATGTAGGCTCCTGTGAAGCACTGCATCCGCCCTTTCTCAGCCTTCACGACAGTCTTACAAAGAGATGCTTTCCTGAACGATTCTTGATGGATCTTATAGATGGAGTCTGCATTTATGGACTCGGAAGTCCCGCTGTCAGCAGGTAGACCAGAACTCACTTTGTGGATCACATAGATGACAAACATCGCATAGGGAAGGCAAAGGGTGGTGAGCTGCACCAGCCAGAATCGGACAAGGGAAAGAGGGGCAAACATGTCGTAGCACACGTTGGCACAACCAGGCTGAATGGTGTTACACACAAATCTTTCCTGCTCATCCTGGAAGAGGGGATAACCAGCAAACGGCAAGACCAGGATTCTAAGGAATACCACCAGGACGAGCCATGCTTTCCCTAAGGAGCAAAAGCACACAGTTCTTTGTCAGTTTAACTTATCATTTATAATGTTCCTTTAAAATTGGTCTGGAAATTGACTTAATGTTGGCAAGTTTGACAGACTGATCTTAGATATTACTTTAATGACAACATATAAGATATGGACCAATGTTGAGTATCTGTAGCAGAGCATTGGTAGGATCATATCAGCTTTACACTTGATATTCAGTGGATATTGTCCTCGATGTTATGACTTTGCCTAAACTTTTCTTTTTTTTTTTTTTCTTTTTTTTACTATATTACTTCTACTATAAAGGCATTTTGTCTCTTAATACTAATTTTTTATATAAAAATAAGTTCTAGAAATAAATGATAGAATATTTATACAAGCAAATCACAACCCGATCTCACGGCAGTTCACGCATATTTTATGAGGTGGCTAATTTGTACAAATTCGTGTGACCTCACTCGTACGAATTTGTACAATTTGTGAAAAATCGGATGTATTTTGCAAGGTGGTAAATTCATAGGAATTCATATGAATGACCACCCCAACCCCGCCCCTAAACCTCCCCTTCACAGAAATCATACAAAATTTGTGAGGTCATACGAATTCGTACGAATTAGCAACCTTGTAAAATACGTACAAATTGGTTGAGATAGTGTTGGCAAATCATGCTGGATTATATTCTTTTACATTATACATTACCTGTGAAAACTGGTGGATAACGTTTGTCCACATGCAATATACAGTGATACAGTGGCCCCCAAAAAATAGTTGGACAGTTCAGAATGTACAAATGTCATTGCATTAGATACAAGATAAATAACTAAGGAAAAATAAGTGGCATCTGCCAACGAATTAGCCATTTTTTAAATGAAGGAACTGGTCTAAATGTGATTTTTAGTGGATGAACTCAGTTTACATGGGTATCTTTGCAGAGTAACCAGATGTAGTTTAACACATTTATAGCAACATCCACTCACGTTTACTAACCAGCAAGTGTCCAAATACATTTCATCTTAATTTTTCAACAGTATATCTATTGTTTTATTACTTAAAATCGAACAGACATTTATGTGAATGTTTACCATGTACAAATGTGCTACCCTTAAAACAAATGTTTTGAAAATCTAATACAATGACATTTAGACATTGAAGGTTTACACAAAAGTGCCCAAATACTTTCTGGAGCTCCTGTATGAATTTGTATTAAAATACCAAAACCGTGCATATACCTATGAGGGTGATGTTGTGGTTCAATGTTATGAAGATAATTTCAGATGCAGTCTGTTTAGCCATGCCAACAGATTTAGGCCTCCAAACCCAAGATATCCCACTGGTCCACTCACAGCCCACTTGATTCCACACAAGAACAAATATTTTACAGTCTGTATTAAACTCAGTCCAAGTGAGCATTAAAAATAAGCCCTATTTACAAGCACTCAAATTTCCAGCCAGGTCCTACACACCAGGTCGAGTGAAATCCACAACGGCAAGACTCACACGTATCCACCAACTTGACTTCCCATCTTACCTCTGCCCTGACAACAACTGTTCCCAGACAACAGAAGACGAGAGATGTGAGCTCCATTGTGAGGCTATTCTTACCCACCAAAGGCATGTCGGCACGCAGGCCTTGCTGTGATATTTGGGCTCTGTTTGTCCTTACAGGAGAATAACTCGCTGGATCAGGATTCAAATAACCGTATTAAATTCTCATGTCTGATGGAGAGCATTTCAATGACAGTTCAATGTCAGTCGCATGAGGTCTTGGATGGCAGAAACCTTAGGAAAGACTTTTCGTGTTGACGTAAATTTCATTTATTTGAACCTTTTAGGCTACTGAAGACTTTTGCATATTTGTGTCTAAGTTTTTTGTTGGGTGCTGAGGTCATGCAGCAAATTAATGCAACTTTTCATATGAATTCGACAAGGACATTTTTGGTTGGCTTCTGTTAGAGATGCGCTAGGTGGTTCTAATATTATTACATTATTAAAAAGAATCCCCTCTTTAGCTCTGTCCTTGAGGTGTTTGGCGTGACTGAATGCCATGGGATCAGAGGAGATCATAGTGGAATCTCTAGAAGCTTTTAGCCCTGTCTAAATGACCTCTGAATGAGGGACATCTGGACAAAGGGTTTGAAGGACTTGCGTTCTAATGAATGGGTATGCAAACTGTATTGGCAGCTGCTTGGGTAGTGAACACTTACTGTAAAACTTTTTTGACACATTAAGTGAGAGGGAAATTGTGGTGGACCTAAATTAAGTCTGTAAGTTAGAGAATTATTTTGCAATCACACGATAATGTATTCGTTAACGAAATATTTGCAAAAATAAAGGCTACTTTGCGTCAGACACTCTGCTTAGATATTATTATTAATCTGTCTTGGATAGTCACGTAGGGAAATTAGTTGTTATTTTGGAACGTGTTTATGAGATTGATTACACTAGGAGTACAGCAAATTGCATCCTGCGTTTTAAAGCGAGTAGGCGAACAACAGTTTAATTGTAGGCCTGCATTGAAGAGACAATGCAAATCATACAGCATTTGCAAGTCTAACAAAATGTGTTCTTTTCAACACAAATGCATTTCCCACATTTGTGGTGATTGACAATTTAGAACAGATACTGTATGTCCCAGATGACATATTACAGTCTAAAATATTGCAATAATTATATCTTTTTCACCTCTGTATCTCTGTAATTGGATTAGCAGGCCAGCTCTGTTAGATAAAGACAATTTTAAGGTAACTAGCAGCGGCGTAGTTCACCAGGGACACATTTAGAGGTGCAAAGCCAAAGACTTAGGATGGAAACGCATGGGCCATATGCTCTCGGTTCAGAATGACTTGCTGTTAAAGTTGGTCTATTTTTGAACATGTCATTGAACTATTTATTTCATAAAATGAGGTGCAGTGCAACTTCTGGCTGAATTTGTTGGGTCAAGTAAAATGCATCAAACCTTTCCAGCTCCAACATTCCATATCTTAAAACAATGAACAGTAGATGTGATTTTATACACAGTATTTATATAAAAAAAAAAAAGTCTCTTAATTTATAAATGGCTATTCTCTTGATAATACTTATGAGACCAAATTTAGTTGTTGCCAAGGGTCCAAAGTGCGCAAATATCTATTCTCTCTATCAGTGGTTTCTAGTTGAAATAAGTCTAAAAATTATGGTAAATTATGTCCTCCAACATTGACCCCCATTCCATGCAATTTGCCAAAAATCAACACTTTGAGAAACACTAAAGTGTTGGGTAAAAAAGCAGAAAACCTTTACTGTAACTTGTCAAACACTAAAATGTGAAATACCTAAGAACCTCTGAAAATTAAAGCTAAAGTTTACTAAAAATTGAGACTCATTTGCTGAATCACCTCAGGAAAGTTGACCGTTTCTTCATCTATTTTAGTTACACAGTCCAAAAAAAAAAAAAAATGATCAAAGGTTGTTTTTCGGCTGTATTGCAATATTCCAGATTTTCAAATAGTTGTATCTCAGCCAAATATTGTCCTATCCTAACAAACCATACATCAATGGAAAGCTTATTTATTCAGCTTGTATAAATCTCAATAATAATAAAAAAAAGACCCTTATGACTGGTTTTGTGGTCCAGGGTCACAATTACTAGACTGTGGCAGCACTGGAAATAATTGTGAGAAATCCATTTCACCCATGCAAGGGTTTGAGAAAATGAGAATGTAAAAATAGCAATACATACTACAAATGACAAATACTATTAGATACTATTCATACTAACTTATAGTAATTTGCACCTCTGAGTGCAAATAATCACTACATTCATGCATTCATTCATTCATATGTGCAGCTAAGTTTGAAAATGAAAATATGTGGGTCAAATCGACCCCTTTAAAAAAAAAAAAAACGGAATTATTACATTTTTCACGTTTTACACTTTTCAGTCTCTGAAAAGCATCAATAGAGGTTTTCCGTTTTAACATCTTAATTGATTTTCATAGTGTCAACTTTTGGCACAAAAACACAAAAAGCTAACACAAAAGCTGTAACTTTTTTTTTAAGAGCATAAGGGGTTCAGCAGAAATTGACTAAACTAAACTAAAAACTACATAAAAATCCTACCCCCAAAAATATGACCCAGTCCTCCCTATACATCTTATATAATGTGATCAGACTCATTAAAAACACATTAGATCAGTTTTTATTGCAACTTTTAAAAGTTTATTCTTGTGGCGGTTTCTAAACATTGCTTTTGAACTGGGAGCATCAGTTCAAATCATAGTTCGAGAACAAAATAAACTGCATGCGACCATTGTAGCCTCCAGATCCTGGGTGGACGGCCGCAGGCGACTGGGTTCACTTAGTTAAACAGAAAGTAGAATCAAATAAGATCATACATAGGAGATAGGATTCAGCTTTTGGCACACACTGAAAACATACTGAAGAAGGGTTTGACCTTTGGAACAGAAACAAATGACAACAACAATGTATTATTCATAATAACAGGCATACAACCAGTGACCGAACATAAAATTAAAAAGTCACAACTTACAGCAGTTTTCTTTCTTTTTTCACAGGAAACCACTTATAGTATAAATGTTCTGAAAGATTTGAATTTGTAATTTCCTAGACATTGCAATGAAAATGAGAAAGATTCCAAGCAACAGACAGAAAGAGCAAGAGAGAGGTATTAAATAAGAAACAAAGACTCTATGCAGAGGTAGAGTTCAGTGCACACGGCTAAAACTCGCCACTCGCCTGCCTACTGCCTCCTATCAGGACTCGAGTTTACAACACCGCCTTCAGATCCAATGCTGGGCCGCATCCTCACATGCTCACAGAAAAGAAATAGAATAGTACAATCTTCAAGTCTTTCGATTCACGATTCCATTTGCCTCCCCAAAGACACTTTTCTCGAACGTTATCCCTGATTTCAAACAGTTTCCAACACTCTTAAAATGTGAAATGGGAGTCTAAAGCGCCACCAAAAAAAAAAAAAAACCCTCCTTGAGAAGTACTTTGGTCAGTCTTCCTTCATCTTAAGGAAATAAGCTAAAACAGACATCTGGGTTCACTGCCTTAGTTACACGTTTTGTCTAGTATCATGTCTCTGACAAAACGTAATCTAAACACGAGTACGAGTGATTCTCACGAAACCTGCCAAGAACATGTCTAGGTCATATTTCACCACAAAATTAAAATAAATTAAACATGATATATTGCATGAATAAGATAATTAAGCCCACAAAACATGATGACAATACAATCTTATCATCCTAAAATAGGCTTAATTTTCTTCTTGCAAAATATCATTTTTGCTTTTGATTTTGCAGGAAATATTGAACCTTTGTATGTCCAGTCGGATATGTTAGCATCGCATAGCCTACTTACTGTATTGTATACAAATTACACAAAGTGTGCACTATATTTAGATTCAACTATTTTTTTTTTTTTAAAGGGGTCATAGGATGCCCATTTTCCACAAGTTGATATGATTCTTTAGGGTCTTAATGAAAAGTCTGTAACAGTTACCTTTCTTACCCTGTCAAAAACAGCTCTTTTTAGAGCACGCAGTTTTGTAGCATTTTTCTTTAAATGTTAATGAGCTCTGCTGACCCCGCCCCTCTCTTCCCAGCTGCTCTCTGAGGGACTGTTTACTTTAGCCGCATTCATCGTGAAACTTGCTAATTAACACATTGTTAGGAAAGGCGATTTGCAAAGAGTCATTAAAAAACCTTACACTCACTTCTTCTGTAGGTGAAGCTAGATCACGAATGATTTGCGTGAACATAGACGCATGTATGTAGATCGGGGGCACATTTCCTTCAGAAACAAACGTAATCCACTGCGTCTTCAGCGGCTCAGATGTCGGGAGTAAATGACGACTGCTATGTTCATTATTACATCCAACAACAGGCCTGTTTTTGTGATGTCACACAGACAGGCATCTGAGATCAGCTCGATTTAAAAAAGGGGTAAAGATTTGAGCAGATTAAACAAAAACCACTAGGTGGATTTTTATCATTATAGGGTGGTTGTGTACACACACTGCCAACACACATTTCAGTTCAAACAACTCGTAAAAGTGCATGTAGCATCATATGACCCCTTTAAGTAAAAATGTTAAGACGCTTTTGGGCATTGGAGATAAAATACCTTGAAAGATGTAAGAATAAACACATACTGCTTGAAAATAATGGCCATTTTGATGTCATCTGAAGCAATTACTAAGGGGAAAAAAAAGCTGTTTTCATTGCTGCTAAAATGAAAAAAAAACAAGCTATTGCAGAATTACATTCATGTCAACAAAATGTTGTTAAATTGCTTTATGCCACTTTTGTGATACAGAAAATAGGTTAAACTCAACTGGAAATTCAATTGAGGACAGAAGATTACGACTAAAGAGGAAAAAAAAAACACCTCAAAGACAGTGCTTAGAAACTGTGTCGGATTCCAGAAAATGTACTTATTCCTGATAAAACAACTGACACATTTATTTTTTTTTCACATTTTTACCCATAATTGTCCAGAATTCAGCAATTAACTAAAGTAAATACTGGTCACATATAAATATCTGAAGATCATAATTAAATTTCTTTAAGTATGTACAATATACAAAAGATATTTTTGGAAGTTCTAATTCTCAGGGTGTTTCTGGGTGAAGTCTCACAAATGAAAATGTCTCAGTTAGTCTCAACAGATAACATAAATCATTTTCACACATACATCTGATGACATAATTCAACACTTGCTTTGAATTGGGAAGAACTGATTTTAAAACTAATTCTGCTGTCTAAAAAAAACTTTTATTTTGGATGCGATTAATCGTTTGACAGCACTACCAAAAAATATTTTGCGGTCTCAATGAGAAGGGAAGATAAAATGGTTAATTTCATATTCTACATCTAAGGCCATTTTCCCGCTAAACTCACACATACATCTGATGACATAATTCAACACTTGCTTTGAATTGGGAAGAACTGATTTTAAAACTAATTCTGCTGTCTAAAATCTAGTGCTGTCAAACGATTAATCGCATCCAAAATAAAAGTTTTTGTTTACATAATATGTGTACTATGTATATGTTAATGTATTTTATATATTAAATGTATTTATTTATACTATAAATTATATTAATATATAGACATGTAAATACATGTAAATATTTTCAAAATATATACTGTTTGTATATGTGTGTATATATATATATATATATATATATATATGTGTGTGTGTGTGTGTGTGTGTGCACGTATGAAAAAATTTAAATATATTTATAGATGTAAATACATTAAATATTTGTGTGTGTGTGTGGCAGGAATTCCTCTTTCTCACCAATTCAATTCAGTCTCTGGTTTGACGCATCATAATTGAGAAATAAAACACTGCAATCAGTCCAAACATTTGTATCGCAGTGGCACTAGGAGCCTCACCTTTAATAACAAGTATTTTGACTTCGACACCAATTTTAACTCAATGTTATCTGAAAGTTTCAAATATCAGCTCCAGTCTTTCCAATAGGTATTGTACGGAATAGATAGAACACACAGTGTATTGCTTTGAGAATTGAAAATGAGTGAGACAGCATGTGTATATCTGCAGTTTGTTGAGGTTATAAAAAAAAAAAATGGTGACAAGAACATACACATTCATGGTCATTGATGATGGAATGTCATTGTTGGCTCTGCAGAAGAAAAACCTTTGATTTCAGTATTAAAACTTCCAATTTCAGTCCATTTCGACATTGTACATTTTCAATTTAAACTAATTATTTCAAGGCATTCAATTATCGAATCTTGTGTTTCAAAAGGAAAGTCCCAAGAACTTCACATGGAAACCCTCCACACCACTTTCCTTTTGAAAATGCAAAGTCAGCTTCCTTTACTCTTATATAATAAGACTAAATGCTGCAAACTGCCTTTATCGAGTATTACAAATTGCAGGGAAAAAACAAAACACAATAAAATAATCAGACTAAACAAAAAGGTCCAGATTGTATATTTTCCCATTAATTTGCATTGTTAGACTAATTTTAACCGTCATTAAAGATGTTTTTAATTTAAAATAAATGAGATAAAATGTTAAACAACTATGTAAGTACAGTGGCAATTTTAGAGTTTGATCAGCTCACAGCCATTTGGAGAGAAATACTTTAAGGAATGGAAGAATATCTAGGGAATATCTTGAGAAGTGGTTGATTTTGGCTCTTGATCTTGATAAGACACATCTTTGAGCATCCAGGTGGAATTTTTCTAACCATACAAGATCAATTAACACAGTACGAATACTTCCTCACCTAGAATGGCAAACACGTATGACACAGAGCTGTTGGAATGCTGTTCCAGTCATTGGGCGTCTTTCTCCCTCATTTATATTCACATACTCAGTTTTTTCTGAACTGCAGTAGCAGTGTCCTCCTCTCTTCTCTAAGCCACAGATTGGAAAGTGATCTTTGTGTGGGTGTATTGTATATACAGCAGCCGTATGACCAGCAAGGGCACTCTTTAGAACAAAAACCTCTGGCTCAAGAGTCTTGTGGAGGTACTAAGCACGCATGTGTCCTCTTAGAGAACGCTTCTTCTGACAGAACGCTTTTTCTCTCAGTCTCTCGTGAAAGTCCCCAATGTCCACTTTTATTAGGATATGATGGCTGGCGACCATCTGACCACTGTCAGGTTATCTGCGCTCACTGAGCGCTTCTTGGCTGCTTTTCTCAAGTCTTTATATCTGTCGTCACAAAGCCTGGAGATCGCCTGTAAGAAACATGAGAAACATTTTAATACTCTATATTTTACAACTTATATAAAAAATATATAATTTTAGAAATGTAACTGACTTCAACAGCTTTTATACATTTCTTGGCTTGACTTTTTCAGGCCCAGAGTGTTATTATAATTATTCATTTTATTTTTTCACAAATGTGGAAATAACACAAAGCTCCTCTTACTCAAGGTGTTCCCCAGGGTTCTGTTTTTGGCCCTTTTCTTTAGAATTATTATTATTATTATTATTATTATTATTATTATTATTATTATTAACTTGTAAGTCATTATCTGCTGACTTATAAGAGTTAACAATGTCATATACATCTGATACAACTGAAGGTGTCACAGAAAAAGTATTGGCCAAACCTGTCATTTTTGATGCAAGAACCACATTTCCAAGTACCACAACCTCCAAGAATAAGTGGGAAAAAGTTTCATTCTTGAGACAAGATACAACTTGTGTCCATTATTTTGAGATGACAGATGATTGTGTGTGGGAGCGTATAAAGAGGACCAGTGCAAGATGGAAGCAGGGGGGCTGGTCCTCATGAAAGAACTAGATCACACACCACTGATTGATTGAGCTGTCCACCCACAGACCACTGACTCTAGATGGGCTAGTGGGCTATTATGCCACCAAAGGTAACTGTACACACACACACACACACACACACACACACAACTGAACTAACTAACATCATTATAGGCCTGGTCTTGTCAGGACTGTAATTGGGCAGCATCAAGGCTGAATTCTGGCATAAGACACACTTGGGGATTCAGCCAAGGTAATTACTCAGCCCTGCTGCTACTGAATCAATGGACTGATACAACATGTCATGATATCCCTTCTTAGTGAAAGCTGTACCAAAGCAAGCTTTCAAGTTTTACTGACATATTCTTTGTAACTTGCTGGAACAATGCTAACAGATTCAGTATTACAATCTGCCGAAATATTGGACTTCTCATGAAAACCTAGAAACCACAACACACTGGGATATGAATGAGATCTTGAGTGACAATCTGAGATAAATATCTTAAGCTATATAATGGGTTCTAATGATCTAGAGTAGTATCGACCACTCACCTCAAGTTTCTGGGCCTTGTCTCTGCTGAGAGGCTCAAGGGGAAAGCTGAGGTTGTTCGCCTCTGAAAGCGAACGCAAGTCAAAATAGTACTTGGCGTAGACGCTTGATGGAACGTTAATATTGAACTGCAGCAGCTCCAGAAACTGTCGTTCCAACTCATTCCTGGTGAGAGAGAGAAAGCAAAGATAATTAGTTTTGCGTATGTTCCTTTTGACAGTTGTCAGTGGGTGGAAATAAGCAAAAAGAAAATCTTGAAAACATTCTGATTTAGCATGTTTCAATGAAAATCAATGTCTTTTTTCATTTTAAAACTACAATCCTGACAAGGATACCAAAAGACAAACCCTGATCATCTGTCCGTATTAAAAAATCTTCCTTTATTCACCCCCAGATTTCTTACCACAGATGAAATTCCTCAAAGTTCAAAATAAACAATCTATTGTCACCCCTTCCTACCAATCGCATAATTATTCCAACACATGCAAAAAACGACCAGCTTAATATAGCCAACAGTGAAGCCTCTGACAACAAAAAGGCAACAAACACCCACAAACCCACACTCTATGGTCCTCCATGCTGTTTGTGGTGTGCTTTGGGGACAATGTGACTGCCTCCTTCACCGAATCTTTAGTCAGGACGGCCTTTAAAATAACTGTGCTCAGCAGGAGTTGAAAGGGCAGATGTGACAACATGCTGAAAGTGTAAAGTATCACTCTTTATGTGTCAGCTCAATTTCTTGGCACCTTGCTTTCAGGGATATTATATATGGTACCTTAAGGTCTCTAGGATGTAGTTTCTAGAACATCATAAAAACATCATACATACCAGTTCTATTTATGCTTAGAACCTTAGAAAAGCTGCCAATAGATAAAGTAAATATTACACCACAATACATGATTTGTGGAGGGCACTAACCTCTGTGTTCAACGTAAAATTAAAACAGACCTTTATAATGCATGTTCCTTATTGTATGATTTGTTGGTGATTATCTTGCTTTATTCAGAATCCATTACATCATAAAAGTTTTACGTTAGTTGTAATTCAGCATATATCTTAGAAATGTTTGAAGGCTGAGCAGCGAAGCTTTGTTTCCATCCACAGTAGCGGATTTAACTTGTATGAAAAATTGGAATATTACATAAAACTTTAGCGAGTAAAGCACCGTTTTCATCTTGTGTTCAAGATATGTGTTGCTTCCAAGGAAACCGGTGAAAATTATCAATAATAAAAATGGAAGTTGTTAAAACCGACAAAGCCACTGCAGCATTTTTTCCTACATACAGTATTAAATGACTTGCACCTCAGAGCATTGTCATGTTATCTTGAATTCAGAGGTGCAAGAGACACACACTTACATGTCTTCCACGGTGATGTCTTTGAGGATCTGGCAGTAGTCAACATTCCATACAGCCTGATCATCCCACACTTTTGACGCCAACAGGATAGCACCCAAAACAATCCTCTTCCAGTTAGCAGGACAAATGTCAATCTCTGCATATGTTAATAATCTCTCCAGATACACCTGACAGAGAAAGAAAGTGGATTAATTTAAAAGTTAAACATAAAAGTAATACTAATATGCCAATAAAGCATCTTGTCAATCAAGTCAAATTTAAAGAAACCAATGTTTGTTTTTAGATTCTGGTGACTGACACTAGCATTTCTGTTTTTGGAGCAAGGTTACTGCAGTGTCACTGCAAATATGTAATTACTGCAAGACTGACACGTAGGTCAGGGGGCACGAATGCTGAAAGACAAACAAACACATATGCTCTGCCAACCAACAAAAACGCCTGATGCCTCACTGGTAACAAACTGCAAACAAACACCACTCAGTTTTAACAGCACTAATATATAAGTATTTTTTGGACATGTACCGTGAATCCGTTAAAAACATTGGAGTGCTATGCAAATACAAAATTTATGAATAATTTCAGCCAGGTTTCAGGGCCCATCATAGACCAGAGACTGCATTTAGAATTACAAATGAGTTGCTTCTGGTATATGACCAAGACTGCATTTCACTCCAGATTTACTAGAGTTTAGAGCTTCTGACACTATAGATCATGACATACTCTTACATTGATTAGAAAATTGCATTGCCTTAAGCTGGTTTAGAATTGACCGTTACCAATTTGTTTGTTTAAACGTGGAACTAGTAAATCTAACATTAGTAAGTATGGGGTGTCACACGGATCTGTGTTAGGTCCCCTGCTGTTTTCAATATACATGCTGCCCTTTGGAAATATGAACAAAAAATTGTATTAGGTTAGTTTGGTTCTATTTAAGGTTTTTCTCCAACACTTCACCACCTTGACACAGTTAACTGTGACTGCTCACTGGGCCTCATTGAGATTCAATTTAAGATTCATGTTCATAAGGAGCCAAATAACAAATATTGCAACAAACATTTTCAGCCGTTTTGAAACCATCTACATTGTGAAAAGCTCTATACAAATGAATGTGAAAGCAATGATTTGATAATGCTTAACATGATTGTTCAGTACTATGACAAAGATTTCAGTACTTCAAAATAAGACAGATCCCCTCATTAAGCGATTTTGGCTAATCTCAGCTCTGGAATTTTGCTATATTTCATGATTTTTTAAAAATAAGGCAGAAATACACACTTGATTAACAAAAAACTCACTCTGTACTCCTAAATCACACGGATACATTATTTCTCTAGGCATTTCAATTTTATACCATAAAGATGAGAGAAAAAATATATTCTGATCAAACTGCTTCCTGAGGTGCTCATAAATTCTCCATGTCTGTTGAAAGGTTCTCTGTGTTATGAGACTGCACAAGGTTGAGACGTACTGTTAAACACCACAGGATTTTTTAAGGAGAACAGATAGATTACCGAGCCCTTATTTCTGTTTTATCCACTTTAAAGTCTATTGCTTTAGCAACTAGACATTATGAAAAAATAGCACACCTTTTTTAACATGCCACATGTTTCTAGGTATTGTTCCTGTCTGTTGGACAAGTAACATGTCAAAGGCAATTGATATGTTTAATGGCAAAGAATGAGTATGATCACTAGCAAAAGTGATGGTTTCCTAAGTAACTCCAATAATATTTATTTGTGTACTTCTTAAGGAAAGTTATAAACATTACTTATTGAGTGGTGGAATTGTAAGTCTGTGCTCTGTTGACGTGGTGTATGACAGTATGCTATAGCCATGGGCGTCTTAAGCATTCATAGACACTGCTGATGGATGTAGGCGAACAAAGAAGTCCTTATAAAAATGAAAAACGCATGATGTATGCAATGCAAAAAAGACGTAGAAGCACTAAGCAGCGCAAATGCACATACACACACAAATTGGGGACAACAATGTCAAAAAATATTAGTTTTCCCACAGTGGGAAGGAAATCTAATAAGAGCTCAATTTTGTTTGTACAAAGTGTAAGACAGAAATCACACGTTTAATTGCTTCCACTGCATCGGGGGGCTCCGGCTCACCCGTGGGCAGTTGTGCATTAAATATGTGCTTATGAGAGTATGTTTGCGAGCTAATCTCCTCTACGCTGTTCAAGATGAACTACTGTCAGCAAATGGGCAAATTACACACCTACAATTTATAAATCAACAACCTACAAGAACACTCCAGGGACAGCGGTCAGCAGCCTAATAGAAAACATTAACCTGAGTAGAGCTACGAAAACATAATTCAGTTTTTACTCAGCTGAGTCATAAACGTTATAAGAGGGCAAATTACCATAAAGTGTTATATAAGTGTTAATTATATACTATTATAGTATTAGTATTTATTACAATTTTGAATGTTTTCAGTGTCAGTTTTTTGTGCTTTTGTCATTTTTATTATTAATATATTTTTAAATATATATTTATGTTAAGCTTCATTTCAGAGATTTATGTTTTGGGCAACAATTTTTGAAAAGACAAACTGATTTATTATTTGGCATCTGAGTGGGAATGTTTTGACAGTGTATTTTTCAAGTCAATCAGTCTCCCATGAAGTTTACTGTGTGCAGTGACTCATAAGTTTCCTTTCAATAACTGAAGCAACCAGCAACAGCCAATCAGATTTTACAAGCATCTCTGCACCTGTTGCCCCCTACAGGTCAAGGAACAGGCTCAATCTGTCTCAATCTACATTTAGAAACAAAAACAATGTCTATCAGTGTACAGATAACACAACACAGATCCCAAACTTATACAAAATATCTACGCTAAAGCTGCACTCAAAACAGTGTTTTTATTAGTTTCAGATTTTTACTGTAAGTATCAAGTCTGGTCCACTTTGCAGTTTTTATGGCCAAGAACCATCTAGAAAGAGACTGACTGATATTTAAAGTAATTTACCACAGTTAGCGTTTTATGTGATATTCAGGTCTGAAATCATTGGTACTACAATAATAATAATAGTGCAACAGTTTACGAGAAAGGTTTTACAGGCAATAATAGTAAAGTAATCATAGGGATATCTATGTTTATTTTTAGGTCAGATATTTCAGTCATCTAAAGATAATAAATTGATTAAAACCAATTAGATTGCAGCTTAGAATTTTAAGGACACTCTTGCCTTTCTTTTTTATGTGCAATACATCAGATGTTCTGTGAAGAGTCCATTGGAACTATCGGAGGTCGAGACTACATTTCCATTGGATTATCAATATAGTTTAAAACCCTATTAAACACACACACACACACACACACACACTTAAGCCCTTTTCAAGCATTCACAGCCCCCTTGTATGTCTACAACTTGTTTAATGACACCTCCTGAATCCAATCCAAAAAGACACGGATTAACTTTCATTTGTCCGCCATCAAGCCACATGACCTATCACTCACCAGAGTAACTATGGCACACTCAGCCGTGAGCTGGGCGGCACTGAAGAGCGTACGAACGAATCTGTAGATCTGTTTCTGTTCTGGATCATGCTTGTCATAGTCTGACGGCACCTCCGATTTCTGTGGAAAGAGGAAGTTTTAGGACATTCCAACTTGTAATTACACCTCATAAATGAGCTGCAGAAACGAAACACTTACTGAAAGTGGATGACGTTTTTCATCAAAAATGTCTAACAGCATTCGCCCGTCCACATTTCTGAAAGGAGAAGGGTGAATTGAAATTAGATTAGGGAAGACTGATACTTATTCTATGCCGTATTCATATAAAGAATTAAAGAACCAGGAAAGTGTGTGGTGATCAATTTTCAATGTTGCCGGAACCTTGTCTAAAAGTTATATCTCAGCAGCTCTGAAGCCTTGGAGTTTGAAGGTTATAATAACGCATTGAGGGTTTATATGGTATTACAGGTTTAAAAGAAAGAAAGACACAAAGCCAGAGACAGAGAAAAAGACAGATATAAAAGTATGGTTGGTAGGTAGGTAGATAGATCTCTCTGCAGAGAGAAATTAAAAAACATACCTGTTTTTTATGTGGTAGTATATTGCGAGGGCAACACTGCAAACAGAAGAAAAAGCAGAAAATCAGAAAGAGTTGATATAACGGTAGTCAACATGATAAAGCATCAATTTTCCACGACATTCTAATTTATTGAGATGCACCTGTAAATTCAAGCTGAAGGAGAAGCTGTGTATAGCGTTATCTTTTGTATTGCGCTGCTATTGCATTGTCCTCGCTAACTGCGCAATGTGCATATAAAAGAATATGCTGTTCTTTTTGTCAGTCTGCAGATCAGTGAATAATATGGACTCAAAAACATTCCAGAGTATGTATGATGAAACAGGCAAAGTGTCATTCAAAAACTATTCCTGGATAAATTAACATCAAATTGAATGCCACAAGGGGCCTCGTTTACAAAAAAACAGATTTCTTTGCAAATTAAATTACAGAAAAAAATAAGAGTAATCCCTCACTTTTTCAAGGGAAAAGTAATTAAATTACAGTAACTAATTACACCCAACACTGCAAACTAACAAGTTGTCAGGCTCAATTTCCAAAGGCTTCAGCCATGCTTTTGGAAATACAATTTTCTTTCCACATCCTTATTTAATTATCTGTCATAAACCAATCATAAACTTTTCAATCAGTACCATTTAATGGTGTATTTGAGGTTGGGTTGGCTAACGGTGCTGTCGTCCAGGAAGATCGTCGAACAGGAGCTGTACTTGCGTCTCATTGGGCCAGATGGATGTTGCTGAAACACAAGGAAATATCAGTTATTCTCAAACACACATACACACAAACACACACTTTCAGCAAACAGGCTGAAAATTAGGCCACCTGCAGCCCCAGAGAAGCCATTATCATCTAATTTATACCCGAGTGATTCTCGCTTAATGTGTGTGTGTGTGTGTGGGTTAGAATCCCAATCCATTACAATATAAACACAGTAATGTATTATGCAAGATTTCAAACTGATAAGCAACATTAACAATGCAAATAAATCATTACAATGTCAAAACAGACACAATATCACAGTTTAAGGAAAGTAAACAGAGCAATGAGCAAATATTTACCTTTGACTCCGCAATGTGTGTTAACTTGCAAAGTAATAGAAGACATTACAATAGGAACAAAACATAAGCTATTCATTGCAAATTGTGTATGAATAGCATGCAGTAATGAAATGAAGAAAATCAAGCCATGCAAATTAAAGGAATAGTCTACCTAAAAATGAAAATTCGCTGAAAATGTAGCCACTCTCAGACCATCCAGGATGTCATCATCTGAACAGATTGGGAGAAATTTAGAATTACATCACTTGATCAACAATGGATCCTCTGCAGAGAATGGGTGCCGTCAGAATGAAAGTCCGAACAGCTGATAAAGTGGTGTGGATTATTGTGATGTTTTTATCAGCTGTTTGGACTATTATTCTGACGGCACCCATTCACTGCAGAGAATCCATTGGTGAACAAGTGATGCCATGCTATATTTCTCCAAATTAGTTCCAATGAAGAAACAAACTCTTCCATGTTTTGGATGGCCCGAGGGTACATTTTCAGCAAATTGTAATTTTTGGGTGAACTATTTCTTTAAAACATTTACATTGAATGAACAAGAGCAGAACAGAAAAGCAAGGCTGTTAATGATGCAACACAAGCTCAGAGACTCATGCAACACTGGTTTCTGCATTCTCATGGGGTTGAGTGTGGGATTTGATTAGTGCTGTGGGTGTTGTGACACGTAGGGAGACATCTTCATCGCAGACACAAGCATTATGAGAAACAGAAAATAAATATCCACTGATGTCATGGCTGCTGCTGCTGCTACTTACATGGTTGACATATAGACTTTTCCGTTTTTCCCGAACTGTAAAGAGAAACGCATAATTAGTAACACCAGCACATCAGTCACTACAGTTAATTAGAGAGAGACAAAAAGACAAGGGCCACAATTAAAGTGAAGTCAGTAATATCAAGAGGGATGTTTCTAACAATCTGAGGTCTTAAACTGTTGGACGGTATTTCATTAACAGTTTGGGGGGCAGAGAGATGAAAAAGGAAATGTGTTTTAATTAAACTGTCCTTAATGTTTCTCTAAAAAAAACTCTTGCTGGTTAGTCTCTTAGAGAGAGCTTTGACTATCAGCATGAAGACTGGTCCAATTTGGGGGTTATTCTAGCCAAGAAATACCCAATTAACCCAAAGTATACTTCAGTTTTGATGCAAACAGTTACTGATTGTGTACAGCCAAAGACATAACCTTTCAAAGTATACACTTTTTTTTTTTTTTGCACGTGTGTGAAGGCGCTCGACATATGCGCGCTAGGACGTTTCATCATTGTACAGTGTCTGCACTACTTCTCTCCATAAGTTATAAGCGATAAAAATGTCTTTATAGGCATTTAAGCAAGAGTTGTGTTCTCTCTTAACTATGGAGCCATGCACATGATATTCGGACAAAAATCTATTGTGGCCACGAATAAAGAATTTGTTCCCTTTTTTTTTTTTTTTTTTTAATTCGTTGCCGTGTTTTAGTTAAATTAAGAATTAATTCCTAAGACTGAATTTGTGGGAACACATTGAGGGAACACATTTTTTAATTTGTGGCCACAATTTAACTAAACTAATTAGTAAAGTTTTTTTAACAAAAAAAAAAAAAAACGGAAGTAAATCTATCTATCAGTGAGTAAATCTATCAGCACACAACAGCGCATTCCAATTATCATGCAGCAGTTGCACAACCTATTAAACAGTGCTGGTGATGTTTGCCAAGGGTTTAGACTTTCAAATGTCATTTGCTCTCTCAAAGCTTCATAAACCTTTCTATTTATTTGCCATCGTTGGTCTCTGTGGAACAAAGTTTAATGCGCACATATGTACTACTACGTAAACATATTGTAACATTCTCAGAAAGCTTCTTTAAAACACAAAAGTATTCTTTAGATTATGGTATTAAGATTAGAACCATAAGCATATAAACTTACGCCCGCAAATATTTATAGATTAGCATCTGTCTTGATGAGGTTAACCAAACATAAAAGAGGTCATTTACATATAGAAGTACATATAGAAGGCCGCGACATCAAGCCAACAGTTGGCTGCTGGCCAATGTCTGTCAGCCTAGTTTTGGCAATAGTTGGAACAAAGTTGACAGATTTTCAGATGATTGAACATGCTGAATTGGTGGCTGAGCCCGTTGGTGAGAGAGATCACTCTGATTGGGTGTTCAGCTTTGCGAACCACAGCACGTGAAGAAAAAACAAACGATGAAAGCGAAGTGTGAAAATGGTAAGCGCTGCTTTGTATATCTGCAATCCTAGCCCTTTAGGTTTCTCTTTTTAAATGATGAATACAGACTACTGCCCCCTGCTGGTATGGAGAGTTATTTCCTCTCACGCAGGCATAGAATGTACGCGCTAGTTGTCTGTAGTATTTGCGGTTATGGGTAACGATCTTGGCAATTTTAAGGGCACTGGCTGAATTACGTTGGTACTACAGAGTACCAATTCACATTAAATGAATCAAATTTCCCAATTCCCAAATTTCGGAATGCGTCTGGCCGTGAGAGTAAAAGGGGTCACACACACCGGACAAGAAACGCAGCGCCGCTCTACGTATTTAAAATTTGAACACATTGTTTTCTATGAGTGTATGCACACCGGCAGCGACGCTGTTCAAAATCCTGCCACGCCACTCACATAGCTTTCCATAAAATCACATTATATTTATCCTAAATTATTGTTAATGTACATAATGACTAAGATGGATGTATTGTGCATCTTTCAGCAAAATGTTTGTCTTTCTGTGACGCTAATACAGTCTGTATGCTTTATATAGAGAGCCATAATAATATAGATCGCACTTTCTCTTTTCGTTTGCTCTGTTTTTTCAAAAACTAATCAACGCAACTTTAATAATTCTTGAAGTGAACATGATGCGGCACGGCGCGGCGCTTTTCGTCCAGTGTGCAAACACCTTGTTTATACTTTCACCTGGCTCCGCATCGCGAACCTCCGCTAACTGCGTGTGCACCTCCCCAAACGGACGAGGTGTTTATACTTTTCACGCTCACCATTGTAATATTTTTTTAAATGACAGGGGGCGACTAGGAGTAATTGTCCTCTAAATCCATCGGGAATCGGGTGCAAAGTAGTAGTTTGCCAGTACAAAACTCAAAATTTGATGTCTCGCGTGATAAATGAGTTGATTAATTAATTTCTTTACGTACAAACTGATTTGGTTGTGGGTCAGTTTGGAAGACTGTGTTTGTTTTTAGCACACTGCATCAAACCCACACTACAAAATAATAAAATAATCATACTAAACCCAGTGAACTTTCAGAATATTATTATTTTTGACATTAGAATTATTTTGTCTAGTGTGTACGATTTCTAAATAAGAAAAAGCTGAAATTGAAAGGTTTGGACGTTTTTGTTTTTTTTTTCACTGAAATAAATGAATTTCAGTTTTCGGTTTGGTTTGTACGTTTGTTTTTTTTCACTGAAATAAATTCATTTCAGTTTTCGGTTTTTCAAATTTCGTTTACAATGTCAACAGTACCCAACGCTATTTGCGGTGTGTTCAAGCACAACTTTTTTCTTTGATGTTGTTTTGGTGTGTCTGGTAGTTCGTATAATTGCTTGAATGCAGCAGAAGAGACCTCTGAGACATTAGCACCCAAATGATTCACCGTACCACAATGACTAAACTGCATTTCATATTTAACTATCTCTACTGTATCTGTGGGCGGGGCCAGTTACTTTGACTGACAGGTGATGTGTTAAAAGCCTGACCCAGAAAACAAACTGAGACTGCAGGTGAAAATGAAGTGGCATTGTGTGTGTGGTCATGTGGGATAGACATTTTATCAGAGTCCCTGGAGTCTGACGCCCCTCACGCACACACACACATATGAAAGCTACTGTATGACTCAGTTAATTCTCACATATTAGCAGTTTGACTATTTTTCATCAATATCATAACTATTAATTTAAACTACAGCACTAGAGACCTACAGAAGACAGAACAGCGTACATGAATCTAAACAAACAGCTGCGCAGCCAGACAAATGGGACCGATTCACAGACATTTTCAACATGCATAACCCCTTAATGGCGCTAAACTGAGTGTAAATCTCTGAAAATACAGCTGTGATTTTATTTAATGATATTAATCTATTGCCCCATTAAGCAGCTTCAATGCAATTAAGCTACTTTTGGTTAGCTTTTAGCATAGCTAACTACAAAGTGTAGCTTCAGTGCAGTTAAAAGCTTGTAGATTAGCAAGCTAACGCTTCGAAGAAGATTCCTGAACAAATAACAGCTTGCAGCATAAATCCAAACTACAGACATTTTGAATCAATAAAGCTTCGACACACAGCAGCAGACTAACAAACAGGCTGAGCTCAAACGTACCTTTCTTGTTGGGTAAAAGAACTGAAAAACAAAAAGGTTTCTAAATTCAATCCGAGCATGGATAACAAGGCTGGCATTTACTTATTCTTGATTTTACAGTTCATACGCCACTAATTTTGTTTATATCACTGAATTGTCCCTTTATAATGTCACTAGAATCACAAGACGTCTGAGAGACCGGAGTCACAAAACGTGACGCTAACAATTCACTGAGAAACAAGGCGAATATCATATGATTAGCCTGGGTAGAAATATCGCCCACTGAGAAGAGCTGACAGTTAACAAAGCATCATCGCCCAGGGGTATCGTGTTAAATCAAACTATTATTACAAGTCTTCTCTGAGGAGGGAATGTTTGGTCTGACTAAGTCCTGATTCGTTTGGATCAGACTGAAGCAATCCTGACCGCGGTTTCGTTTTAATTAACGTTCCCCTCCAGCATCCAGGCTTAAGGGGAGACCATCCCACTCATCCTGTGAGTCAGAAGACATGGAGTCTCTCACCGTCTGTTTGAGACTTGCTGAGAAAGATGGTGCTGGCGCGCGGGTGGTCCGAAGGATTGTACTCCATGTTGAGCTCTGAGGAGAGAAAGAAAAAGACGATTTATTAAGACTGAGGCTTCAGTTACTATTCTAGTATTACTAGAACAACCCAAAAAAATAATCTTATATTTCCGACAGAATGATGGAAAACATTTAGTCAGGCGAGCCACAACACGGAGTGGTTGCAGCGTACACATAGCACTGAAATACAGAGATATGTGAAAGAATTAGATGTAGAAAAATTGTCATTTATGTATAATGTATATACTATTACAGTATTTATTATTATTTTGAACTACTTTCCATATTTCCAGTGATCATTCTGATTTCATTTAAGCTTTAATAATTTTATGAGATTTTGCCATTTTTAAAATATATTTAGCTTTAATTTGTCGCTATAGTTTTTTTTTTCCATTTCAGCTTTAGTTATTTTAGTCCTTCGATTTAAAATACATTTAATTTCAGTTGATTGCCAAAGCAAGGATCTAACTATTTAATCTAATATAACTATATACTGTAATATTTAGATTTTATTTTATTACATATATTTTATATATGTTATGCGATAATAATAATAATAATAATAATAATAATAATAATAATAATAATGTCTGATACTGTCACACCACTGTAATTTTTTGTAGGAAAAATAAATTGTGTTTGATGTATTTTAATCATAATTTCATAATAAAATGTCTATATTGTGCACAGCATAAATACTGTAAAAATAGTATGTTATTACCATGTTATGTGATTATGCCAACACTAGGGGGCAGACCTAGTGATTGTGGGATCCAAGGACAGTTAGACTAAAACCCTTACTCCACCATTAGTTTTTATTTAATTGTACAGTCATATATACTACAATATACATATTGCATTTGCTTTTATATTTGTATTTAGCTTATAGTAATATTTATTATTAAATTTATTTATTTATTTTGTCTGCCACCAATACTCATCAAGTCATCACCAACAGAGAGACTTGAAATTTCCTTCCTGCTCAGTTTTCCCATACTGATCTTATAATATAGTAATATTAACTAATTTTGTTTTGTTTTATTTTATTTTAAGACCTTCAGGCAGATAATATAGTAATATTTATCAAATTTACTATATATATATATATATATATATACACACACACACACACAGAGAGACACACACAGACACACACACGCATGATGTCATCAGAGGAAAGAGCAACGGCACACACCCCGACCAGGAAACTAGGAACCCCGAGTTCACAGCCTCTAAACGCGAAACAGCCGATCCTAAAGCGCACCATCATTATTTCTAACTGCAGTGTTTGGGTGTCAGCTGCATCATGTGCGCTGAGATTTGTGAAACCTAACAAACCCGTGACAGTGAAACCTGGCTCAGAAACGGCAGCTGCATTGTGTTTTCAGTCTTTTGAAGCAGCGTCTTTTATGTGGAAGAGCCACTTGAATCTCAAAGGAGCCTCGACCGTGAGACGTATGGAGCACTCTGGGGTGCAGAGGAAAGACTGATTAATAAAAGATGGAGCTGTGTGGGAGAGAGAGGTGGAAGATGGATGAAAAAAGGAAAGGAAAGCAGAGAACTGTGCTGCCGGTCTCAGAGAAGCTGGACACATATGCTTTAATATTAATGTGTCTTATTGAAAAAATGTGCACACTCATGGCAGAACGTGTGGTAACGGTAGAGTTTTCAATGGGATTGAGTCATTTCCTCTCTTACTGTGACCCACCCTCTGTATTTTGTGAAGAGGGGCTCAAGTGTTCAGAGGGGGTCTGATCTGAACAGCCCAGCACTTCCTCACATTCAGGAAAGAGCCGCTTCCAACAAACACACTACAGCTTTCACACAGCCATGTCAAGAACATCTTTCAAGCATGTGCAAAACTGTTTAGGACCCTATGAAATAAGATTTAAAACCAAGCTCTGTTTTTTTTTTTTTTCTGGCATTTTTTTAATGGTTTTAATTACATTTAAAGTCTGT